CAGCAGGAAGTAGATCGTATAAAGGAAGCAGTCAGGTCAAAGAATATGGCCAGAAGAGGGCATTCTGCACAAATTGGTTAGTAGGACACAATAAAACCTTTAAACCAAAAAAAAAAAAACCCTTTAAACCTTGATTTGGTTTGAATGTTTTTATTTACTTGAGAACGTAATCTGATTGATTTGTCACGGTGGTTTTTGTCTGTATTTTCTAATTTACCAAAGAGTGGCATTGTTGGGAATGCAGAGCATTGAGGAATAGCCACCTTAATTAACAGGACAAGGAGATAAATCAGAAATAGACAAGCAAGACTGGTCAGGTGTAGGAGCAACTGTGTAGAGCGATGTTATGAAAGCAAGAAGAGACTTGCAAGAAAATGTCCTGCACGGTATTTCATGCTTTAATTGCTAGGCATTGATGCAGGAATAAGGTTTTTAAGAGGCTAAGGATTGTATAGGTCCTGGAGAAAAGGATATAACTGAAAAGAAAAAGAGAGATAGAGGGATTTGCTGAGAAACAAGAAGGCAAAGAAAAACAAGACATTTGGGAATTTGTTGTAAATAAGAAAAGAGACTTAACGAGTCATTGGGGTCGTGTGTTATTTGTTCTGAAATCAGTGTTTGTTTTTCATCCCAGCTAAACCTATTCGTCCTGGGCAACATCCGGCAGCTTCTCCGGCTCATCCCAGTGCAGTTCGTGGGGGAGGCGCACCTGTGCAGAACGGCCCGCCGGCAGCCGTGCGAGGTGGAGGAGGTGAGCAGGCGTGGCTTCACGCGGCGCCCTCGGGTCTGTGCTCTCTGGCTGGCTTCGGAGTCACAGCTGTCCGTGGGGATGTTCAGCCATTGGTGGCTAAGCAGTGTTTTGGATTCTCACAGTAGTGTTATGATTTCTTCATAATGTATGGGATTATAAAAGTAACTTAGCATGGTTTCGTCTAGTATTTTCGTAGTTCGGATCATACTATGTGTATATTCAAATTTGTGCTCTTACTGTTTTTAACGTAATATTGGGTCATTTTTCAAAGCTCTGGCTATTGTCTAATGAATATACCATGGTTTATAACTATTTTACTGGACATTTAATTATGTCAGTTTTTCCATACTTGAAATTTTCCAAAATTGAAATTTCCTTGTATGAAATCTGAAGTATGAAACATCTTTTTATACCTCCTCACTTTCAGATTATTTCCAGAAGATTCCCATATGTGGAATTATGAGAAAATGAACATTTTTAAGACTCTTGACACATACTAACACATGCTCTTCAGAAAGACTGCATTAAATTGTATTTAGCCAAGGACACTGTGCATTTTGTTGCATCTTTGCCAGTATTGAGTATTAATAGTTTTTAAGTTTCTAATTTAATAGGCTAAAATAAGCATCTCATTGATTTATTAATGAATTTGGATTTTTTCGTATATTTATTGGCCCATTTATATACGTATGTCTTTTATGAATTATTTCTGTGTCCTTTCCCATTTACCTGTTGTGAGTGGTTTTTCTAACTAGTTTATGAGTTCTTGTTTGTTTCTTTCTAAATACAAGTAATATCCGTTCCCTGTAGGGGGATGAAGAATTATCAAAAAGATAATTATCGGGCTTCCCTGGTGGTGCAGTGGTTGAGAGTCCGCCTGCCGATGCAGGGGATACGGGTTCGTGTCCCGGTCTGGGAAGATCCCACATGCCGTGGAGCGGCTGGGCCCGTGAGCTATGGCCGCTGAGCCTGCTCGTCCGGAGCCTGTGCTCCACAATGGGAGAGGCCGCAACAGTGAGAGGCCCACATACCGCAAAAAAAAAAAAAAAAAAAAAAAAAAAAAAGATAATTATCAAGAAGATAAATGTCATCCAGAGACACCACCCAATATATTGTATATATCCTTCTGGAGCTTTCTTTACATATTATAACTTTTAAATTAGAAAGTTTGAAGTGTCTAATAAACATTCTAATATAACATACTACCAACACACTACGCTATTCTATATATGTTACTTTGTAGCCGGCTTTTTTTTAACTTGGCAGTGTATTCTGAACATTTTCTTATACAGCATGACTGATTATAGCTGCCTAATATTTTATCATATGACAGGAACTCAGAGTAAATTCTTCAGCAAATCCTAAGTGTGTAGGTGGTTTGGAAACTAAAAGCAGTAGATAACTCTGAGATAGGGACTGGCTTTGTTTCTAACAATACTAAAGTCAGTTTATTTTAATCCTGCTTTTTACTTTGTCATTTTTGCATAACATTGGCTCTCAGTTTGAGTGGAAAATTATGCAATTATGGAGGAATCACATTTCCATAAATTTAATACAGTTTTTTGTCCACACGGTAGAGGATTGATACAGTGAAACGAGTACAGATGTTGGAGTCCCATCTAAGTTTGCATCCTGATTTTTCTACTTTTATGAGCTTGAGCAAGTTACTTTTTAACAGTTAATTTGTCTCGTTTTGACTCCTTTTAAAATTCTTTTAAAATTCTTAAGTGTAAAAGTAAATTATGGATTTATGAACTACTTAATGTATCTCTGAAATAAAACATTTTTCTACATACCACAATAACGTTATCACACTTGACAAAATATTTTTAATATTACACCAATCCATATTCAGATTTTTCTGATTATTTATTTGTGGTTAAGTCTTCTACAGCTCATTTGTCTACACCAGGGAATAATCCAGGACTGATGTTTACATGAGCTTATTCCCCTTAAGTCTCTTGTAATCTAGAGTAACACCCCCCCTTTTCTAATGACACTGACTTATTAAATAGACTAGGCCAGTTTCCTTGAGCATACATACGCCTCCTTGGATGTGTTCGGTTGTTTCTGTGTGTAGTTGCCTTGTTCCTCTATTCCCTGTTTATTAGAAGCATTTATTGGATTCTTTTAAACATGTTTACAGGCTACACTGTGGGTGATACATGTTTAATATTGTGTCACATCAGCAGACAGTACAGGAGTTTTCCTGCCAATTAAGAGATGGCCTGTGTTTTTCCCCCTTTGGATTAATAACTTGTTGAGCCCCTTTACTAATAAAATGAAAGTCATTCTTGAGAATTACGCAAGTTAAGATGTCATTACCTAGTACAGCACGGGTGCTGAGTAGATGCAAGCTGCCTTTTCTGGAAGTGGAACTGGGCAAAAGAATTTTCAAAAGATAATTATAAATACAGGTAAAAGTTTATCCGTTTTGGATATTGTCCTCACATTAAAATTCACATGTGAACTTTGAACTCCTGTCTCATTTGCAGAGAGGATAGTCCATGGCCTTTGTTAAATATAGCTAGGCTTTAGCTTGAAAGTAGAATGCTGATCGCAGTGTCATGACAGCACTTAAGCACATGAGGGAGATGGCTAACCCGGCTAACCCAGGTTTTCAAGACTTGAAGTAACTGTAAAAGTATAACCACTTACAGGTTTGTTTCGTTGCTGGTCCGAAGGATAATGGTTATTATTTTTTAAAATCTTGCATCGATCAATCTTAACCCATGATTGAGGAGTATGTGATCTACATAAGTGATAAATTGTTGAAAAAATTAGATACTTTGTAGAGATTTTTAAATTATTTTTTAATTATGAAGAAAAACATTTCAAAACACTGGGTTTATTTTGGGAAAAGATGGCAATGTATGAATGATGCTGATACTTTCAGTACCCAGTTTTACATGGCTGGTTCTTCTAACTGTGTAATGCTTTGGACAGGTGGAGGTTTTCTAATAAACACGGAGGTAAATAGGCAGCTGAATACAAGGGTGCCTCTAGGTAACACCTGCTGCTGGATTGTTTATTTTATTTTATTTTATTGGCCACACCTGCTCGGCTTGCAGCTGCTTAGTTCCCAGACCAGGGATTGAACCCGGGGCACAGCAGTGAAAGCACCAAGTCCTAACCACCGGACCGCCAGGGAAGTCCCTGGGATTGTTCATTTCACTGTCACTTTCCCCACCACATGTACCTCTTGCTTATCCCTACCCGACCCCTTTTTGTTTCTTACAGTTACCATGTATGTAACATTGCTAGTTAGTTAGTGGTCCTTGGCTTAATGTCACTGCCACTGTCTACTGGCTGCCATTTCATTAATCATCTTTTTCTTTTTTAAAAAAGTCTAACTTATACATCCGCTCACTCATAGCTCTTGCGGGGAGTAAAAACATGCAGGATGACCTCCTTTCAATATTGTACTGTCCCTAAATGGCTCTGCTTAGGAGGCATATAAAAGGAAAAATTCAATCATTTAATGTTGCCATCTTTTCAGTTTTGGGGAAAGTGGTCAAAGCTGTTGGCTAAATGTTTTTAAACTCATTGGTATATTTTATTTAATTCTTTTCATGATTATCTCAAACACAAGTTTTGTATAAATAAAAATATTTTTCTCTGTGCTTTCTTCCATCTTCAGGTGTTAAAAGTAATTGAAGTATGAAGAGGACATTATATCAATGACTATAGCCTGTATCCCTTGGGAACTTTAGAATTATAACCTTTTTTTAGTGTATAAATTGTACCTGGCCTGTACAGCTGTTTCCTGCCCTCTCTTCTCGTAAACTCTGCTGCTTCCCAACACAACTAGAGTGCAATTTTGGTGTCTTAGAAGGGAAAAACGACAGTTTACAACTGTGGCCCTATTTATTACACAGTTTGTCTTTCATGTCTTAAATTTAGTCTTCACTGTGCCAACCTAACTGTGTCATACAGGACTGTGCTTTTTGTACTTGTTTTTTTGTGTTTATTTTTTAATCTCAGTTTAAGTTACCTAGCTGCTACTGCTTGTTGTTTTTCTTTTCTTATTAAAACAATATTTTAGGGGAAATGAACCTTTAGATTAAATGTCTTAAAATTTACCACTTATAACACTACATGCCCACAAATTATATCAGGTCAGTACTGTACATTAAAATCCCTTGAAATGACTTTGGAGTTAAAAATTATCTGTATCATCTCTGAAGTTTGCTTCTGAAAACTACTCTGAGCCCTGAAACCTTTAAAACTGCCTAACTAGACATTTGAGACTGAGCAAGGCTACTTAATTATTTCATGAAATGACTGTTGTTGAATTATCTTGAATAGAAATACTTTACAATATCAAAAGCAAATCTTTTGCTTTTGTTTAAGAAGGAGAGTTTGGAAAAGGAATTTATTTCTGTTCTTCCCAGTGCTTTAATCCACTTAGATTGATGGAATGAAAACACCCTGCTTTGTTTTGGTGAGCCCACTAATTAATATAAGAATTGGACGGTTAATGATTTGTCATCTTACTATAGTGAAGTGAACTAAGATATTATAGGATTAAACATAATTTTATATTGTTAGTACCGTATTGTTTGATCTAAATTTATAGCCTATGGAAATTGAGAAAAAATGTGGAAGGACAAGACAAATGTACGGTAAATTTATAAATATATAGGTTAAATTTTGGTCTGAAATCCCTGAGGTTTTTCACCTGGTACACTAAGTCATAACACTATAATTTATTTCTTGTTTAGTCTAGAAGTAGTAAATTATTTGCAAGTCACTAACAATCCTCAGATAAATGGTTTTGTTGGCGTAGCTGGTAATTTTGTTGTTAAGTGTACCTGTTCTTCTTCCTCAGATGATTAAACTAAGTCAGCAGTTTGTTTTAGAAGCTATAAAAGTGACAGGGAAA